AATTTTAGTAAGGTTTTGTTTATTTTAGAAATGTCACTTTGTTAATTGTTACACTTAGATTTTTGCCTTTCTTTGCATCTGTGATCATTAAGAGTTTCTCGTGCACCATGAGCAGTACTGCCCTTCCACAAGACCCTTGTCAAAGAGTAGCTGAAAGAACAAGTTGTGATTATACTTTGGGCATGTTTCCTTCATTGTCTTGTATCGTTTGAAGGTTTTATTAATCTCTTTAGGACATTCTGTACAAAATCCCTGAACTGTATAAAGCCGCAGGAGTCTTAATAAAAACAAGATTTATTAAGAAAGGAGACAGAACACTGGAGAAATGGACTGTGTAACAAGTCTAAGCTGAAATGTTACTAAAGCTTGTCTTGATTGGTCTCCTTCATGTCATTAAAAGAAAGTAAACTATCCTACACCCCTATAAATTTCATCCTTTGACTGAACTTGCCATCTCCCCTCTGACTGTCTGGCAACTACCAAATCCGGGAGAGTTTCTGGTATCAAATGTCTTCTTTTGAGGGTGCTTTTGCTGTATATTTGCAGCTATCTTCGCTCTTCTCATCCCTGCAAGTGTTGACGAGCGCTGCTCCAGGAGCAGTAGCCCCTGTGTTAGCCCTGCCTGCTGCTGGGTACCTCTGCAGGACAGCCAGGGAGATACGCAGCCTTCTTCAACTGCAGCCCACCCAGTGCCCGTAGGTTAGAAACACAGACGTCTGAAATCATAGCGCAGGCATCAAGTCAGTCCAGAGTAGTGCTTACTGTCGGGCATTGAACTGGTTAATTCTTTATCTTCCATATAGCTTTAAGTTCTTTTGAAAGTGTTACACAAATGTTGCTCCTCATCCTTTTTCCATATCTTATTTTTGAACAAGCAGATCACAGCTCAAGTCTGTCTACCCTTTCTCCTAAATTATTGACCATAACTTTACATAGTAAATTGCACTGGCTACAAATGTTTGCTTGAACATAATTCATGACGGAGTTTAAAGAGACAGAGCTTACATATCATTTTCTCAGTCAGTAAACAACTGATGTTAAATTTGGCATTTCTCAGCTTCCGAGTGCTTAGTTTTGATAAGATGGTGTTCTTTTCAGTTCTTACAATCCATTTAAATAGTTTTCTTATTGTAAAAAAAAAGCAGCAAAACTTGCACTGAGAATGAAATGACATCCTGCAAAGTCCTACTGACCCTCCCTTTCTCTGGAAGACTCCCACTAGTGAAACTTGCAAGCATTGGAAACTAGATGAACAGCATCCTCCGCCGTCACATCCGCTAAGTGGCACTAGCCATTGCAGATGGATGATACGCACCTTTGCCATTTCCCATGCAGGAAGGAGGGTGCAGCTGGGGTGAAGGATGGGATGGCAGATGCACCGTTGGGTTGGTGAGGAGAGTTAGGAAGAAACAGAACATACTCTGTGGAAATCTGTACTCTGCTGTGTTTAGGTCAACCCAGGAATCATCAAATTTGGGCATTTTTTTAATACACATGGCAAAAAGGAAATACCAGAGACCTTGTTGTTTTGATTCTAGACCTTCTTTATGAAAAGCTTGGGGAAAAAATAAGTTAAGCATGAGCAGAATTTTTTTTAACCTTGTTCTAATGGATAGTATTAATGAATAAAAAAAATCAAGCCTTGAGGAGATGCAAATTGTACTGAAGATTGAGTTTAGCAAAAGTATAAATGGCTGAAAACAGGCTCTTACAGTAGAATTTTTAGGCAACTTGTTGACAAGTTGTAGGTCCTAGATTTAGTCATTTAGAAGTAGCTTAAGAGTCATGCTTTCCCTTTCCTGGCATTATAGTTTTTCTTACTCTTTCTTATTTCATTGTGTTGTTTTGTCCTCATAAACACTCCTAAACGGTTTGTATCGCCTCATCTGTAACCATTTCTTAGGCTTATTTAATTTTTTTTAAAGAATTCTCTGCCTTCCAAGAAGAACCAGCTAAATATATGTAACACATAACATGTCGATTTTATGATGCTTGGAGAATTGTCCTGTAAATCTGGGTCAAAATGGTTGTGGTTTTAGTTAAAACTGGTAAGGCTGGATCATCGCTTTATTTAATGGCTTTATTAGAGCACAGTTTTCTCCTGCTTTCTCTGTATTGTAAGGTCATTAATGAATCATTAGCTATTGCTAGTAATTACTGATCTCTTGAGAATATTGGTTTAATTATATAGGAATCATAAGTGGAAGATACAGTTACATATTCTACAATGTAGGTAGTAGTACCTTGGTGTATTATAGCTTTAAAGAATCTGTATTTTTTTTGTATATTTTAATTGCTAAGTATGCCTGGTAAAATATGAATAATCGTATTACTGCATGTGATAAAAGTTATACTATTGTGAGCCTCGCAGTCTGCAGGTGTAACAGATGTAAGGCAAGATTAACAGGACATAACAATAATTAAACCACAGACAGCCATCTCAAACAAACAAAAAAAAAGGTTTATCATGTCCAATGCAATTATTAAGTGTGTCTCAAATTCTCTGCAAATATTTGTAAAAGCAATAAAAACGTGTTAGTTTGAAAGACAGCTTTTCAGTGTGGACGCTTACTTTAAGGAATTAAGATCCCTTTTTATGAATATAAAAGCTGAGTGAAGTCCTGCCATATGGCAGCATGGTTCATAGGCAATAGGGTCCTTGCTTTATAGACGCTATGAGCTAAACGCTGCCGAAGAAAATAAGAGAGCAGTTAGTATATATGCATTTACAACAGTATGAATTGCTTACTCCCTTTAAGACGGGAAGGTTCAAATAATTAACGGTAATACTACGGTTGCAAAAGGAAGTCCAGTTGTTCTTCAGCAGTCTACATCTGTGAAATGTGATACCTCTGGGGACTGAGATTTAATTTTCCCAGGAGAAAATATAAAAGCAGGAGAAAAAAAGGAATGACTTCTGTTTGAGCAGAATAAACCTGCATCTACAAACGATTAACACTGCATAATGAAGTAGTAAAGGAGCAAAAGAGATTTCTAATAAAAGACTAATAACAAATCCCATTACACCATGGTGTATTTTTTCCCTTGAAGTGTATTAGACTTTTAGCAAGGCTTCTGAATGAGATTTGGGTAGTTGCAAGCAAAGTCAGCTCAAATGCTTCAAGCTTAGCTGAAATTTCTTGCCTAACAGTTTGTGTAACTTGAAAGTTGCAGTTTTACAGGTGGGAGGGGTTGTTAATGCAAGTAATAGGCTTCACGCAGAGTTTGGGTAATGTTTGTGTCACCATAGGATAATAGTCTCCTGTAGGCTAGGCGCTGTAGGGTAATGTGCCACTATGTGGTAAAATCCCATAGAACAGACATGGTATTAAATGCACTAGCTAAGCCTTGCTTTTGTGTTAACAGTTCTTCTGACTTCTCTTCCTGAGGCCTGAAAATAAGTCCTCATAGGAAAGGGGTGTGATCATAGAGTTTGTAATTTGTAATAGCTAATATTGCGACTTTTATAATTACTACGCTAACATAAAAAGTTACAAGACCTTAGAACGTACATGTTTGATATAAGGATGAGACGATGCTGTCTTTTGAAATCGCATATTTTCACTTTTAAAAGGGAACATGTCTTGCAAGGGAAAAATTCTGTGTAGTGATCTCTAAATGTGTAACATGGATGTTTTTGCAGATTATACATACGGTTCCAGTGGCAGGGGGAATAAAAGTTTAAGTGAACACAACCTTGACTCACAAAACAGTTCCACTGAATTTCTTTTGTAAGAGAGAGTCTTTTTGTACAGATTGTTGCTATCTTAAAAGCTTGTGCTCAACTGACATGTTGGAATTAATTTGTCTAGAAATGAACTTTTATTACTGGAATCAGGAAAAAAAAAGCAGGTGCCTTTCACCAACAATGAGTTCTGGGACGAAAGTGGTTAAACATGAATTCTTACAAGTGAAACTGATCTTGATGGAATTTCTAGTTGCCTTTTTAGAAATTTTTGTGAGTTTTAAAGAATGACTTAATTTGCTTAGCAGAAATTTGCAATCAATCTTTTCTTGCCACTGAATAAACAGATTCCACATGCGTAGTAATTTGCATATCCCAGCTAAAAACGTAATTCATTATTTTTAAGTCCATTTCGTAATAACTATTTCAGGATTAATGTTACTAACTATTCTTTAGCTCTTTCAAATGTAACCTTAGATAATCCTACCTAAAAAGGTACAAAGCTAGCGGGTCCGTTCTGGAATAGGAAAGAGAAGTGCCTTTCCTGAGGTCAGCAAGTAAGTCAGTGTAAGAGCCAGAACTGGAAATACAAAATCTTGAGAAATAATTTTCTTCTACTGCATCTCAAGCTTCCAGCCTCAAGCAAATATTGCATTTAGTAAGACAGATTTTCACATTTTGCTAGGTATGAAAACAGCACAGATATGAACAGGAATTAATGGTATAGTCTACATGCAGATTATCACTAAATCTGCTAAATATTTAAATTAAGTTTAATCAAAATAGCATCCATAGCATATTTTACATGGAGCTGCGAACACTGTCATCAATAACAGGGAGGAAGCCTCTTCAAAGTAAGTGTGACCTGGTCCATTTTAACTGCTGTTTGGCATCTGCCTCTGAACTGGCTTTCACTTGACTGGGCTTTTCAGGGCTTCTCATAAACCACTGGCTTCGCCCTCCTGTTTTTGCTGTTCCAGGCTATTCTTGCGTAACATTTTCTCCCTTTCATCTTAGATCCCTATCACATTAAATGCTCAAAAATATGGTCTATAGGATTGTCCTTTGAGGTTCACCCACGTAATAATATTAGTCAGTTAAGCTTCTACACTCTGTAATGTATCGCTTCTTTAATGTAGATGCAGTAACATTTCCACAAATACAGTTAGTTAAGTGGTTATCACAGATCTTCACGCTTTGCAAAATTTTCTGGTAAAATGTTTTGGATTGTAGGTGATCCTGGGATATGTATCCTGACTTTACCATACTTGGCAAAATGGAAAAATACAAATCACGTCTTTTCCCTTTTTTTCAGGCGATGGGTAAGGCTCCTGTTTGGACGTGAATTCCCACTTCAGGACCTTCTGGTTGTCTGGGATGCTCTATTTGCTGACAGTATCACCCTGAATTTAGTTGACTACATTTTTGTAGCCATGTTGTTATATATTCGAGATGCCTGTAAGTATCAACTATCTTACGATCTTTTAAAAAGAATGCAAACCTATTTTTCAAAGAAAAAGAGGACTTAAGAAATGCTAAATTCCATTGTGACTTTTTTAACATACTGAAAATCGTTCCAAATGCTAGGAGAGGAGCCGTTTATTATCAGACGCGGTCTGCTGTATTTATGAAACAAATTGTATCTTGGAGTTAAATGCAGGTTTGTTTTCTGAGTAGTTCTGTGGTTTTATATGGTGTTGCAGATTTTATGTGCAGTAGGCGATACAGGTATGTATAGAGCTCCACCTTCTGACCAAGCTGATGAATTGAGTAAAGCCTTCCTTTGACACTGGAAATATTTTTATGCTGTTCTGCTGTGAGAAATGTGAAAATGCAGACTGACTCATAATTTTCGAAGATATATCTTGAGGGAAATGTAAATGCAGAAATGAGTAACAATTACAAAACGTTTATTCTGTGCAAGAGTGGCATATTTAAAAAATGATCATTTCATTTTATTTTATTTTAGTACGTCTGAAATATGTGCAAAGGTGAATTCTTACGGGTTAGTGATGACCAATAAATACATTAAGTTGGGACAAACAAGAAATCATAAAAATGTTGTTAGCTTATATCATTGTGAATGGGAGGAGGAAGATATGTAATGATTGAGGCATTTATTTCTGTCCCATCATATTTTGCAAAAAATTCTGTGTACAACTTTGCTGCAACAAAGTATGCGTTTTGCAGCAAGATGCACGTCTGTCATTAAATATATGAATTCCATAGCATGCTGTTCAGAGTTAATTATATACAATCTGTAAGCTTTAGGTTATAACAAGGTCACATATTTGACATAATTTTGTATTCTAGAACACATGAAGTTTTCAACATCTGTGATGCCTATTTTAGGGCCCAATCTTGAAACGTGCATGTACTTTACACGTACTGTCGTTCCACTGCCTGCCTTCATGTGGTTTTTTAATTACTTTTTAATAAACATGCAGCATATAGAGCTACCTTACATTCCTCTCAAAGAAGTGGACATTTAATTCAGTTTAGAGGTTGCAAAATTAATGCTGCTGTTTCAGGATGATCTGATTCCAGGTCATTATGTTCTGCAATCTAAATCTGGCTTGTTTATGTGCAGTAAACTGAAATTATCTTAAAATTTTTGGTATAGATACGTAATGCAGATGCATGTAAAAATGTTTCTTAACATCAGTATTTTATTTTGTGTCATCGTTTCCCTTCAAAAAAAAAAACTTTAGAACTGTGTTTGTAAGCAGCCTCTCTCTTCTTGGGGGGGAAGGTTGTTCTGGGTTTGTTTTGTTTTGCTTTGTGGTGCTCATGTACAAGTATCAGTATGAGGTAACTAAAAATGTGAGCTAAAAATGTGTTCTAGGCATCTGTATGAAATCGGTCTCCCCCTTTTCTCTGAAATCCCTGGGCCTAGAGTAGTAAATAGCTTTAAAGTGGAGTACGTTTGCCCAGCTGAGATGCAAAGTCATCTCATCAGGACAGCTAATACTTCATACATATACTGTTTCTGTAGTAAGTAACTTTTTGTTCTGTAGTTGGACCTAATTAGTTACTCTAAGCATATTAGAATGGTGAAACAAAATACCTAGTCATAAATACTGTAAAGTTGAATATATTTTCAAACTCAAGCTCAAACTATAGCAATTTCCACAGTTCTTGATTTGATAAAAGAAAGCTTTTTTTATATATCTGTAATAGAAAAGTTTTCTATTTTTTCCTCATTTTTTTATTGCTGATAATATTTGAGCTTTGAATGGAGTTCAAAGTTCTGTTGTAGTATTTTTAAAAACATTTTCAAATTAAATAAGTTTCTAAAAGCTTTTCTTTATTTGGTGACAGGAAATGTTAGCTCAAAACACCCAATGATGTTAATCATCTATAAATAAACCATCTGGAAATTTTCAGTTTAAAAACTTCGAAACAATAGGAATAGTAATAGAGCTCCTAAGATAGCATGTTATAAAAATGTCAAACATAAGCAATGATAATAATACAATACTGAAAGCATCTGAAAGTTTAAAAATTATCCAGATTCTTTTATACCAACACTTTTGGGGGTGGGGGAGAAGTTGCTGGTTTGGGAATTGATGGATTTTTTTCTGTGCTTTATTATGATGTTCTCAAGGTCATGATTTTAAGAAAATATTATTTCTGCTACATTTTTCATTTTATTTTTATTTTAGTTTTGAAATCCTCTGTTACTCAAACGACATATTATTCAAGGTGAAGGGAGCATTTAGATTATTAGATTATTTTAGAGACTAAAGATACATAACCATGTACACAGCCATTCTGTAAACTGCTCTGTTCAGTTTTACATCTGTATCCAAGCAGAGCTTTATCCGTGGAGTGATAATCCTCACAAGCCAAGTGTAGGGTTGTATACCAAAGTATCTGTGAGTTTTAATAAATTATTTTCTTCAGAAAAATTCATGCAAAACAACTTTTTTTTTTTTTAATTTGTCAAATCAGAAGCATGAACATGTTCCTTCTTTTTCACCAATATGGATGTATATGCAGTTGTTGATGAAATCAGAATGGAGGGGAGGGTGCAATGCAAAAATATATATATTTTATATACTTCCCTTCAAGAAGGACAAAAATGAAAAAACCTGAAAGACCTGTCTATATTTTGCATAGTAAACTAACATCATTATTGCACCAGGAGCTAATTTTGACTGATCAGTGTTAGAATAAGTATATTTTTATCATGTTCCTACTTGAAGACTAGCTATGGCCATTGTTAGGATATATTTGTTCTTATTTAAAAGTGCTCTGAAGGTTTTGAAGGAAATAAAGGAGCCACAGCCTCTTCTTAGAGGAGCTGATTTGTTATTTTTGTTACTGTGCAAGATGTTCGTATTATCTATGTTTAACTCAGTTTAGGGCCTACTAAAGAGAAGATAGCCATGCGTAAAGCAGCAAGGGGAAGTAGTCCCACCCTTCCTGGGTTAGGAAGTCATCTGGATACAGGATTGGTGGCATCAAACATTGAACTCTTAAAAAATGACATGGCAGAAAATTAGGACTTGGTTGAGGACAGGTGCAGTTAGTTTACATGTTTTCCACCACTATTATTGCTGTTTGTGTCCAGGAATGGTTATTGGACCAACAGAGAAAAGTCAGTCTCATCTAAAGCAGAAGGGAGAAAGCAATTTAATGTTCCTCTGGGCACTGCATAACAAATATTAATCAAAAGGCAGTAAGATTGCTTTCTCTATGTAGAGGAGTTTCTCTACTCCTTTCCCTAGACATAGCAATAGCATTCTTCTTTGGAGAAGTGAGAACTTGTTATTCACAATAAAAGTTAGATCCAGGTGTGACTCTTGCCAAGCCAATTATTGAAGGAAAAGCACGGGTACACCAGCACCAAGCTCATTACAAGGCAGCTGGGCACAATGTAAGATATTTCACCGTCGAACTTCAGTACCATCCAGGTACTGCTGAGACTGGAGAAATTTGTATTGCACAGATTCTCCTTCCAGAAACTATCCTACAGTTGATTCTTAGAAATCCTTTTAACTCCAATATGCATATTCAGAAAAGGGGTGTTTGTTTTGTTTTACTGCTATTTTCTTTATCATTTTTAAGAAAACCGCCACTCCGTGGGATAATATTATACATTTTGTCCTGAAGAGACAAGAATCATAGAATGATTTGGGTTGGAAGGGGCCTTCAAGGATCATCTAGTCCAACCCCCCTGCCGTGGGCAGGGACATCTTCAACTAGATCAGGTTGCTCAGAGCCCCGTCCAACCTGATCTTGAACACTTCCAGGGATGGGGTATCCACAACTTCTCTGGGCAACCTGTGCCAGTGTCTCATCTCCCTCATATTAAAAAAATTCTTCCTTATATCTAGTCTAAATCTACCCTCTACAGGTCCGTGTCTTTCTTATGCTGAGGGCTCCAGAGCTGGACAGAGTACTCCAGGTGGGGTCTCACCAGCATGGAGTAGAGGGGCAGAATCACCTCCCTCGACCCTGGCCACGCCACAGTGAGGTCTCCCCGTTCTCTTCTCTCTTCTGGACCCTCTCCAAAAGGTCCATGTCTTTCTTATGCTCCAGAGCCCACTCCAGGTGGGGTCTCACTAGAGCAGAGTAGAGGGGCAGAATCCCCTCCCTCGACCTGCTGGCCACGCTACTTTCGATGCAGCCCAGGATACGGTTGGCTTTCTGGGCTATGAGTGCACATTGCCGGCTCATGTCCAAGAACAGCTCACTTGGAAACAAAGAATACCAAAAGGTGTTTCAGCAAAGTAATCCCTTTAAGCCAAAGATTCCCCAGCAAATAGAGCACTGGCAATGAAGTTCTCCTCTGTAAAGATTTCTACATGAAAAAGGGACAGCTGAATAGAATATAGGGGGGTAGATTTAGACTAGATATAAGGAAGACATTTTTTACGCTGAGGGTGGTGAAACACTGGCACAGGTTGCCCAGAGAGGTGGTGGATGCCCCAGCCCTGGAAACATTCAAGGTCAGGTTGGACGGGGCTCTGAGCAACCTGATCTTGTTGAAGATGTCCCTGCCCATGGCAGGGGGGTTGGACTAGATGACCTTTAGAGGTCGCTTCCAACCCAAACTATTCTATGATTCTATGATTCTATGAATATGTGAGGAAAATCCTAAAGATAAAATATATATAAAAGTTAGCAGGCCTTCCTCATTAAAGTCTTGGAGTTTTTTTAACTTTCTTTGGATGGTAAGGTTTCATTTTAAAATTTAACTTTTAGGGATCAGAGGGGACACAGGTCATTGCCCAACAGTTTGATTTTTTTTCCCCATTATTCAATTGCTTCGCTATTACACATTTCAAAAAATTAATAATGAGAGTAAGTGTCTTGTGGTTGAAAATACAATTTTTTTGTCAGGGGTCAAGTCTGCACCATTCAGATAAATTAGCTTTTTTAGTATTTACTTTTCTCTATATCTGTGAGACAGCAAAGAACTCTTCCAGGAAAAATAAAGAAAGGATAATTTTAATCCATTTTATATTGCAGAATAGAACACATACTGATCTGTTCGAAAGAGAAATGCATTAGTCTTACCACCTATCGTTTATAAAAGTATTTAGAATTTACTATCCATTTTCAGTATTTTTATTTACTTTGGTAAAAAGGCATCATGATCATAACTGCAGTACAGCATCTTAAATTTGATTTACGTATGAGAGTTTGATTGGGTATATACTATGTGGTGCTCGTATTATACTCCTCTGAAAGAACTCTGACGGAGACCATTGTATTGTGTTCATTATGCCAGCTTTGTGACTTCAAGAAGAAAAAACAGGTACCTGAATATGAACAAGAAAAACAAAGGGTAGGAAAAAGAACAGGCAGAACAGATAAAGAATGAGTAGGATAAGTGAGTGCTTTACAAATGAAAGCAGATGTATGAAATTACAAGCTGTCGGATCAGCAACGGAATGAAGATGGATAAAGTGGTTCCCTACACAGATTATAATTATTCATTTTGCCTAGTCCTGCATCTTTTCCCCATAATCCTCTTGTTGAGGGAGGAAAGGTACAGGAGGATGTGAGGCTTATTCACATGAAAGAAAAAAAGAAACATTTAAATCTTTCTGTCCTCAAAACAGTCCTTTATTTTGCCTTTTATTGATTCAGAATAATTTTGTATTTGTAATGATCCTTTCCTGTATAGAGACCTGACTAATTAAAAGTATTTGTTACTGCAGCTAAAGTTCTCAGAATAGTAAAGTTTGTTAAAAATTTATTTACAATTACTATTGTTGGAGGCTGTCTTTATGTTGCAGAGTGCAGCACCATTAACAGGCATTACTTTGACAGCTGTGGCAGATGGATTGCCTGGATTTAGATGGTGTAAAAGAAATGTAGTAGTTTACGTAGACCTGCCTGAAAAGATGTCTTTAATAATTGCACTCATAATTAGATTGATTTGGGGAAAAAAAGACCAAAACAGAAGACGACAACAACAAGCAAAGAACCATAGAGTATACTTACATAGATTCAGATAAAATCAAGCACAATTATAACAAAATTATAAACTTTAGCAAAGCATGCTGAAAATTTCCTGAATAAGTAAAAAATTCTAATAAAGATAATGGTATATTATATTTTTAAGTATTTATGAAATTAAAATCTAGCCTTTTCCCTTTTTCCTGAACATTTCATGAATAGTTTCTGATTTACAAGAAAACAAAGAGTTGTTGACGTCGTTTTGCATATGTGTATATATATGTGTGTGGGCATGTATGTGGATATGTACGTAAGAGCAACATAAAAGATATTTCAGCAAAGAATTGTCAGAGTGGGGGAAAGTTGTCATAAAAGCAGGACCAAAGGTAAAATTTATCTCACAAATTATCATACTTAAATTTAGGTGTCTGCAGATGAGTGCCTGAAAAGTCAGTGTCCATTTCAGAGTGTAGGACTAGTTCTTCAGGCTCCACTGACTGTATTGCCCTGACCTCCACTGGCTCAGGCCGGCTTTAGGTGCACCGCTACAGAGATCTAAATTTAGGAATCTAAATCTAGAGCTAACATAAATGTCTATGACATAAAGTCAGTGGTAGGTTTAGCATTGTCCTTAATGATACTGGACCAAGCGTAGTCATGAAGCTTGATTATGCAGTATCTTCTTGATATTACTCTGAGCACTGCTTGAGTTCTAAGAGACTTAATGTGGAAAAAGACAGCTGAATCTGAACTGCAATGAATCTACTGAAAAAGGTACTGTTTTGGAATATCAAAATAAGATAGTAATATTTCACTTTTTTTTCCTCTTTTTTTCTTTTTTTTCATTTTCATTGTAGTGATTTCAAGTAATTATCAGACCTGTTTGGGACTTCTGATGCATTATCCACCTATTGGAGATGTTCACTCCCTTATCCTAAGAGCACTTTTTCTTCGAGATCCAAAGGTGAGATGCTCACTTTGTAAATACAGGGAATAAATCTCTGTAATAAAATGTCCTAAATACTGTGAAGTTAATAACAACCTACATTTTGGGATCTAAACTGTAGTTTCAAGTTTCTTCTTACCTGACAAAAAAGCTGAAGGAAAGAGTTGGTAACCAAGAGTAGAAACAAGTTCCTTTACTCTTTAAAGGGTACTATCCTACTACTTTGCTAAAGTCATCTAGGAGCTCGGGTAACTGCGGATGTTTATGCTCTTTAGAATACCTTTGCCTGGTATTCTACATAGACATCTTTCATAATAAAGGATACTTTTGAGGGAAACTAATATTTTATATAATAACCTAGTAAGCTGTATGGAAACTGTCATGCAATTTCATCTGTAAGACCTTTTTCATGGGATTTCTGCAGATTAATCACTGTTAATCCTTGAAGCGCTACCCCCACCCAATATATAATAGTTATGTGATGGTTTTCAATTAAAAACGAGAGTCTGCTGTTACAGCCTGAAAAGATTCACTTGAATAAAATGTATAAATTCATAAATTTTATGTTACATATTACTAGTATACAGTTTATGATATACTCACCGATACTAAAAAAAAAAGTGAACCTCTTGCTGTTTTAGAATGGCATGTGTATATGTGTGGATATAATATACAGCAGATATCCACAGTATAGTGGATAAAGTATTTGAGATGAAGCTGTACACAGTAATCTTTGCAGTACTCAGATCTTTGGCAGATAGCAGAATTTGTGCTGCTTGCATGGTCTTTGTGCATGTCCCATTAGTAGGCTGCCAGTGTAAAGTCTGATTTCCCTCATCTTCTTGATGCACGTCACCTTTGAAAGTGAAAAATTCATCACTTCTGCACTCTGACTGCCTTCTGCAAAATTTCATTCAGTACCATTGTTTACACTTTTATGGATTAAGAAAAAAATTGTCTCTTTGTTTCTATATTAGTTTTTTGCAGAAATCTGCATCCTTTCAGCTGCTTTCTTCATTCCTCTTGGGCGCAAAGATTTCTTTCATGACAAGAAGTAAAGTATATCGCCTTTTCAGTGTGTAAGAAAGTTTGTAGCGTTAAATCTCAGGAATCTTTCTTAAGATTTCGGCAGCAGTGTGTGAAATCAGGCTGCCCAGCATTTATTTATGTACTCTCTTAGCAAAACAAGGTAGAAGTATTTTTTAGAGGGAAGATACAGAGAGAGGAAAATTGTGCTAAGATATCAAACTAAATCCAATATGTAATCTGTCATTTATTGAAGGTATATATTAAAAGATAGAATAATTACTAATTATTCAACTGTCCTCCGAAGCATCCTAGGCAGTATACAAGATATCCTACCAGCTGAAGGGGGCAAAAATAAACCACCAACTTCCCATGAAAGAAGCTTGATCACTATTCCGCTCCTTACGCTCTTCTCTCCAACAGAATGAAGTTGTCAGGCTCATAAGGCCTCAGTGTCCTATTAATTAACATTCTCAGGTGTGTCTTGAACACCTTTCATAAAAATACTGGATGTGATTCCTACCGTGTCTTTCAGGTAGTTCTCCCTTCACTCAGGTGAATGAGTACGTAAAGCTCTTTCATGCAAAGACTGCTAGTTGTTTTGTCAATTTAAATATGATTAATTACCGTTGTTCCTCATTTCTAAGCTGTACTTATCTGCTTGGGAAATACTCTGAAGGTTAGGAAGCTGGGATTTTCAGGGAATGAAGAGCCCTAAGGGACTTCCAGCCACCTCTCGTTTTACCTTGGGTCTTTGGGTTGAGACTGCATAAACAGATCTGGACTTCTTACAGCAAGGAAGCTAAACTGTTCTCAAGGATCACTCTAAAAGAAAAAAATAGCTCCTGGTCTGAGAAAGAAATGTATTATTTTCAATGCTATGACTTGAGTACCTGTTTCTTATCTTTTCCTGGGTATGATTTTAAGTTTCACTTACGTGTCTTTAAGCATACGTTGGTTCAATCCAACGTATTTCTGAAATGGAAGTCTTGTTATTCTATAAGACCTACACATAAAAATTTTCCAAGTCCGTCAAAATTTTTCATTACACAGAATGAAAGGGAAGACTCAACAAGACATCATCGGTGCTGTAGAAGTCTAAAGTCAGTACACAGATTGTATACTAATATATGTGGAAAAATTATTATAACCTTTTTGTGCTATCTGCATAAAGATAACTCAGTTTGCCTTTATTCCCTCAGCAGATAAAAGGAGATTGGAAGAAGAGACAAAGAGATTTTAGTCAGTAGTGTAACTTGTAAGTGATGATTAGCAAATTCAGTGCTTAATGATTTTTCTTCCTCCTTTGATGTTTTCCTGTGCATTTCTGCGTCACCAGCTTCTAGGTTCTAATGGGAAATTACATTTGGTTCAGTGCAATTTAGATCTCCTGAGCCAGGGCTGAGTTGTTCTGTGTGGCATTTCTTCCAAGATTTCACTTGGGTTTTAATATGTGAAGTCAGGGAACTCTTCTGTGGGAGACTGTTGCATGGTCCAGTGGCTTATTTCATTATTTGTTGAACATAGCAAGAATGTTTAGTGTTGTTCCAAATATCTGAGAGAGCCTTGCTCTCTGCCCCTTGGAGCTTTAAATCTCAGCTGGACAAGAAATACAGTTTAGAAGTCATGGACAGGGAAAAACAGGAATCTGCCTCTTGCAGGTTTGTTAATAGATATTGTCTTTGGGATTATTTTTGCAGCTAGGTAAATGCCAAATAATCTCACTGAGGGGAAGTTGTGGAGTGTTTGGACTAAGAAAGGTTGGTGGTATGTACATAAAACTGAAAGGTTCTTAAGGAACAATCCTGTCATAAATGGTGAAGTAGTTAAGATGGACCTGGCACATTTCCATCCATAACTTCCAATTCTGGAGATAATCTGGGTTTGCACATCTAATAACATCCATTATTTCTTCTGTTTCCTTGGTCTGACATAACAGATATCTCCTCCTTATTTATTTGTCTTATAGACTGTCAGGAGAGCTAAACTTTGGCTTGATGAACCTGTCACGTTTTGTTTGCTTCTTTTCACTGCAGTCATCACCAGGAGGGCAACCGAAATGTCAAAAGAAAGCTATACTTAAAAGATGGGTGGCATTTTTTTCTTACAGATGGACAAAAACAATTTCCTGACCTTTTGTGGAATCAAGCCTTAGCAGAAGCCTTAGCATTATCCAGTAATAACAATAATATGAAAAGTAATTAGTGCTTGCCATTAATCTAATGCATGCAGCAGCTCTCCTTTTCACTTTGTGAACCCCAGTTGGCAGCTGGGATGAGAGGATGTTTTAGATACCACATCTCTGATATATTCCAGTGCCACGGAAGAGAAATACACATCTCCGTAATAGCTGAAAACAAGTTAATGCACCTGTCTCTGAAGGGGGGCCTGAGAGATACTAATTTTACAGGCATGAGTATGGATCAATGCAGAATAATTGAATTTCAGCCTTTTCTGCATTTGGCTAGCTCCAGTTCTTAGGAAAATGTGGAATGAAAAACTCAAATCAGCGTTGTTGTTTTTGCATAGGGTGATAAAGTTAACCTGCTTAGCAGAGTATTTGTTTCACATTTCTAATCTTTGAACAGATAATTACCTCAATTATTTATATGAAAGTAACTTCTATGCACTTATAGTCCTTCTGAATATAAAAGTAGAGCTTCTTATGGAAGAATGGGCTATTAAATGTATGTATATGTGAAATGAGAAAATAAGGGAAGGGTTTTTGTGTATATCCAAAAGCATTTACTGAAGGTGTGTCTCTGTGTATTTAATATCCCACGAGTGGCCAATTTTCTTCATTTTTTTCCTTATCAAAACCATCGAGCACTGTTAATTTTCAAAGCAAAGGCTGCAAAATTAAGAAGTAGAGATACGGAGATAGGGCAGTGGAAAAATATAAAGTGATTAAAAAACATAGTTCTAACTAGAGCTGTTCAAATAAAAAAAAATTTAAAAACCCAATTAGAAACAAAAGTCATAGAAAATGTGAACATATTATGTTCCTTAAATAACCAGATGTTCTTTCCTTCCTGAAGGCAGCCAGGGCTAGGAATAAAAGGTTTAAAACTATTGTTTTAAGTTAACTGTGAATTTTGCAAATCTGTTTTCACCCTTTAGCAAATAAAATTCTAATACAGCAACATAAGCAAAGTAATTTTCATCTTTGGGTATTCTTATTTGTATGTTGTTCTGTGTTGAAGTGTTAACCTTATCACAATGACTTATTAGAAAACTAAAGCACTACATAGAATATTACAGTTTTACATTGCATACTAAGAACCTGACAACCATCCTTTGTCTGAAAGCTTACTGTATTTATTCTTAATATTTTTGTAGAATAAGTTTGCTTTCAGATATTTTAACGTGGAGAGTTACCCTGTTCATCGAGCAAGCTAGGTAGGAGCTTAATTCAGTGGAGACACCTTTTATCATAAGCCATCAATTCAAAAAAAGAAAAAAGAAAGTGGTTGTGCTTGGTTGATGGGAATTAATTTGTTAGTTATGCTAATAATATTCTAGTTACTGCTGCTGATATTTTCTCAACGTTATATTTAAGCTATTTGCTGACATTGAACGTGGCCGTATAATATTACATTCTAACTAAATCCGTGATGAAGCATACATGACATTTCAAAGAAGTCGTATTAGTTCGTCATGACTGAAATTACAGGTACTGCCAGAAAACTTAAGCAATAATATATGGTCATGATCACTCATATAACAATTAGGCGGAGAAATCTGCATTCCAGCTTTTAACACTTTTCACAATCTGAGCCATAAGTGACAAGGGGAAAACACATTACTGAAATTTTGAACCGAACTCTTTGTACGTTTATTTTCAGCTGAATTTTCTTCTTAAGCAGCTGCCACCGTCTCAGAGTTTTCTCCAAGCTAGTTTTATGTGCCTGAAAGGCTGTTGAGTTTCACTTTCTTCTTCTTCAGATAAACTCTTTCCTATACACTCATTAACTGAGGTGCTGCTGCAGAGC